GTGTTTTGTTTACATTAATTTTCTTGCTTTCTCTAAATATCCCCACCTCCTTTTTTCCCTCTGTCATCTTGGATAATTGAGAGCTGTCTCTGTTTCACTGAGCATGAAACTAGTCTCTTTACCTGATCTAAATCCAAAAGCGATCAACTTACAATGCTAAAGAGAGATTTTTATGACCTTTCTGTCCTGAAAAAATAAAGAAAGATGAAATTTCAGCTTTATTGACATCAGTTTAAGTTCCAGGAGAAATTAAAACCCCAGATTTTTGCTCTTGCATACATAGATGCATGCACACATATACAAAAGTCTCACATGATTCTGTGGGGTTTTGGGGAGAATACCTCTGAATTGTAAGTGATAGAAGGTATTTTAAAAGAAACTAAGGTTTATCTAAATATTTCCTTTTTGTCTTTCTTTTTTCACTCTCTTTCTTTCGCTCTCACTCTCATGCTTTCCCTTTCCTCATGCTTACTTTATTTTGAAAGCAAAGAGTGGAAGAAATAGGTTCCTCTAGCTAAAACTGTAGAAACTTTTGAGTTCTTGTCTAGCAATGAAGTACTGGCTTTGCTTTTTAATATAGTAGACTCATAAATGCATTTACACAGATCAGCCTTTAGAGGACAACAAAGATACATTCATGTATACGGACAAAACACTTCAGCATTTAGTAATGGAAATGGATTTTTCCAGGGTTTTCGTGTTTGCCCTGTGGCTTAATGCAGATACAGTCTTCAGAAACTGGGGACAGAGTAGCTCAAGTGGTGGCTTTCAGACCAGATACAACCCACAGGATTATTCTACTTGCTCCTTTGCATTTTTCATAAAGAAATTAAAGAAAAGCTTTACAGCTTGGGTGGCCCTACAACATATCACCTCTTCTTGAAGCCACACTTACACATATACTTAGAAATCTGAGCTGCCAATATTTAGTCCATAAGGTCAGTGGCTTATGATCCAGCCCTGATAATGTTGGGCTTCTCTAAGTCTTAGTACGTTATTTATAACATAGGTAAGGCACTTAACTGGGCTGTAATAAGGGCTGGTGCTTCCCTGAATTCTCAGGCTATATATATATTAGTAATATATATTCACCACTCAGGAATAGTTTGGGGCAATGCTAGTTAGACAGGGAAAAAAAACAGGGATCCTGCTAAAAAGAAGTAGCCAACACCTGCGTGTGCCCTGGTACTTCTTTTATTTACTAATATCAACATAACTTCTCTGCAGTAAGATACTTCAAAATGCATTGAAAAGGGGGAAATCTTGAATAAAGCATATGTAATATTGCCCTGGCTTAGGCAGTACACAATAGTGGCTGCTATGAAAGTAAAGGTCTGCAGAATTTTCTGTTCATGGTCAAACAATATTGTGAAATCATTCTTTCCGTAGCACTGAGTTTTCTGTATTCAGGTCAGACGGGCATCTCAGAGAGCAGCTGCGTGAACATCGCTGTACCAGGGGTGTAGAAGAGCCTCTGGTTTTTGCGCACCTGGCAAAGTTGTGCAAAACTCAGCAGTTTTCAGGCTCACTGCAGCTTCTTTGAAGATTTCCCCTGTTTTACGCTTTGTAAGAACTTTGAGTTTGGAGTTTGAACAAACCCAGCAATTATGATCCCTTCACAGGGACTATCCTGTACTTCAGGTTGGACATATGTTTACAGATCTTGATGAGTTGGGACTTAGTGGAAACATTTCAGAGAGGAGTGTGAGCTTGAAGATTTTAAACAGAGGAGATGGGAAACACTGCTTCAATCTGACCTGTGCCAGTCTGTGGACCCTGGTCTTTATTATTAAGGTTGAGCAAGAAACATCATGAGCAATTGGAGCACATAACTCTACATTTAACCATCTGTAGGGTAATATATTCCTAAAGAAATCTCCCTTTTACCCCAAGGTAGCAGAGTCTGGATTCTGCTGTAGGTATCAGATATTATAGCTCTTCAAAAAGTCTTTCATTAACTTCAGACTTATTCTAATAATAGAGATTTGTGTGATTCCTCTGAATTTTTCTGATCATAAAAAAACTCTTTGACTTTCTGACATCATATGGCATAAACATATACATATATGTATAAAATACCAACCTTTTATCTTGTGGTTTCTTTGCTGCCTTGATTATGGTTTACAAGGCAGAATTTCTGAAGGTCTTCTTGTTATATTAAATCTAAATGAAACTTTATGAGATTTCCCATGGTCAAAAATCAGCTCATACTGGATAATGGTTGAAAAACGTGGTATATCTATGCTAAAAACATTCACAAAACCTTATCAGAGATTCCAGTGAAAGACTATGGCTTGTCCTTGCCAGACATAATATTTTGGCTCCGTCCCAGTCTAGAGATTTATATAGAATAGAGACAGAGAATTTATTGCGAGAAAGCTCACAGTTCTGGAATATAGATAGAAATGAAGATGAAAATTTCACTATTGAAAAAGTGTGTTATAAAATCTATGATGACTGTATGGAGTCACTGCTTCAGATTTATGTCTCCTCTGCAACACCTGTTTGTAGAGCACCAACAGCTCTTGGGCATTTTGGTCCTAAATAACATAAAATTTATATTTATAATCAGAACCAATCACTAATTAAGACAGTTCAATTTTAGACTCTGACTATTGTAGATGTAATCAGAGTATTTGACAATGACTGCGATATGAAGGTCAAATCCATCTCTGGCATACAGTTGCAAAGCTCTTTTTCTATAGACATAGATATATGATAATTGTATTCATTTTACTGTAATAAATAAGGACAACCTGCTTTTTTGGAAATTGAATTTTAGGTGGGACCTATGACCAGGGATGTGGCGGTCAATGTACTTTAAATATTTGAATTCTTAGTGTTATACATGTGTTTTATATTAGGCAGATGCTTTCAAAACCTTTTAATGAAATAACTGTCATCTGATGCATAGTGACGAGCAGCTATTTATGCTTGTGACCGGCAGGAGACTGTCCTATGCCTCAAACAGGAGTGAGCATGTTCCTGGGTTACAAGGACTTTCTCTGTGTGTTGAGGTACCAAGAATTTCTTCCTCTTCTCTCATCCCCAACTGATCAGGTGCAAATTTCCAGTGACAGAGGTTGGTTCAGTCTGAGGATCATTCCCCAGAATGAGAGAAAGCCAGAGGAACCAAATCATTGGTCAGAACTGGTCTTGTGTTGAAAACTTGTCTCAGAAAATACTTAATGCTCCTGGAAAACACAATGAGTTGCGCTTTTGCACATTTTCTGGCATTTGAGATAAACTTAAGTGCCTTCTGTGATATTTAATCTCAAGAAGGCAAGTAGTGGTAGGAGTGGTTCAGATGATCTAGCTGTGAAGTCTGCCAGATTCATGGGACAGGAATAACATTTTTTTTTTCCTACACTAGGTTTAGCTATTTACAATGCAAGCGTCTAGTGCATACTGGTTGGCTAAGCTCCCATTCAGCTGGAGATCTAGACCAAACTGTTCAGTCAATGGAGTTTAGAGAGAAATTCAAGTCACACTAATGTAGATGTCTATGTTAAACCTCCTTAATTGTAATGCAGATTTCATGGGCTATACAAATGAGATCGTTAGAGACTACAGCAGAAGATATACACCTGGCTGAAATGGAGGCACCTACATGTAGATGAGCAGAGTTAGATGTCTGGGTCAGAAGACGGATCTGACCTCAACTTCTCTACAATAGAGGAATATGGTCTCACTGCAGCCTCTGAGTCTGGCAGTACTCATCATTCCCCAAGCACAGACATCAGACAAGGCTGTCTGATTCAAGTCCAGGGAATCATCTGTGTAGGATCAAGACCTGTGTTCTTCTAGATGTCCATCTGCAATCCAACACTTATTGCCTACAGAAGGCATAAAAGAAAGCACTGAATGATCCAGGACCTGCCTACAGAAGCTTTGTACTCCAATCTACTGAAGTGAACCAGAGAAAGAAGGATGGGAGCTGTACCAGTTGACAGCTTTTGAAGCTGAAGTCTTCCGCATTTCATCCTGACTCGTATTCTTCTTTAAACATGGGAATCCTTGATGATTAGCTACCTTGTATCACATTTACTTTGTGTGCATGTAATGGGGAATTTTCAATTTTTCCGTAAGTCTGGGTAGCCGATTAAAATCCCTCTATGAGTATCTTGTATAAATAAATATGTCTTCCTCAGTGTATATGTGTAGTTAGGCATTATGGAGTGTGCATGTATAACAAAGTATACATAGATATAGGTGGTATGCATGTGTGTGTGTACATCACTGCATGAGAATAGCATGGGATTGTCTGGGTGTGTTTCTGCATGCATAAGATGCACACAGGTATATGTAAGCATAAACAGGAATATGTGTGTTTGTGGATCAGGCATTATCCTTGCCTCTCCCCATCCCCCAATAGACCGATGAAAGAGGTGGAATGGTGGATGTTTTGCATTCCATTCAAAGTCTGAGGGACTAAACATTAAGTACCACACCACCATCTGGCTGGTAGGTGCTTCATGCTCTATCAGAATCTTCATAACTGAAAGATGTTGAGATATTGGAGCACAAAAGTTGCCTGCCCAGACAATGAACGAAGAGTGACTTAACTGTCTGTGCTAAAGAATACACAACATAACTCTAAGGCTTTATAGGCCTTACAAATCTGCTTGGTCTGTAACCAGTTCTTTGAAACAGTTCTTTACATGTTGATTTTTGGACATTTTTGGACCATCCACTTAGTTTGTTGGCTTGTTATTTGGCTCACATCTAGAGCAAGGCAACTTTCTAGCCAGATGGGAAGATCTGGCCAGCAGAAGTAGGAAATGACGTACTCAAACTCAGACTTTGGTCGTAGAAGCAGGGTGAATGCGTCTAGCCTGAACTACATTGCTGGGCAAACGTGCTTTTAATAGGTACAGATAACAGAAGGATTATGGACATTACAGTCTTCCAGGCAAGGGAACAAACATCATTATAACATCGTATGTAGTCTTTATCAAAATTATGAATTTTAGTTAATTATTCCTCTTTCAAAATCATACCTGAAATGTGTTAAATGTCTCTGGATGTCAAGGTCTAATATTGGAGTCGGTCTGGAGGATCCGAGGGGTGATCTGTCTTGACTTAGAAGGTCTTGGAATTCTTTACATATTTGTCTAAAAGGAAAGTGGAAATCCTTAATAAGACAGGTGTAATTCTTTCCATAAAGCTGATTCGCATAACACTGTCACCTTATCCTGAGTGATCTCATTCATAACAGAAATGTTTGGCAGAGGCATTGTTAAAGAAATTAAAGGCAGATGAATCCCCTTCTTGCCTCCCTGCCCCAAATTCTCAGAGCGAGCAAGACACAGAATCTCTTGAACAGGAATCCTCTGGAACCATATTACCATTGACATTTTAAAATGTGATTTCTCTCCCAGATTGGATCCAGTTTGGCAATGTTAAGTCTGGCTTAGTTTACCTACGTTAGAAGCAAGGGTTATGGTTGCAATGCAATTGCATTCTACCAATGTACTTTTTAAAAAAGAAACCAAACCAGCTCCATTTGGTGCATGCCCTCAGAAGTGTACTATCTGGACCATGGATGGATAAAAATATTACTTACTTTCAATTGGTTTATGTTACAGTTAATTAAAAAAGAGAGGTGTCTGAATCTCTCTCTCAGGACTTCTCCAAATGAACATACCATTCTCCATTGACTGTACTGGAAATTTGGCACTTAAAGGGAGGTCAGGAGGGCATGATGTCCACCAGAGAATCAGGACACTCAGTTCGGTTGCCTGATACTAGCCTGACAGTCAGCTGGATTAACCTACTACTGGTCACAGTGACTACATGTAACCTAGTAAACACTGCCACCTAGTAAAGTAAGCAGTGCTAGGGGTCATTCTCATATCGTTGTGCAAATTGTCATCATCTGATAAGGTCCATATAGTTATGCTCGTCTAGCCTCCTAAACAGGATGTCTTTCAGAGAATGGACCCTGGTGTGGGCTATCTCCTAGAAAATGCCCAGAAGATATTTGGGAGAGTTCAAGGAGCCATTCTAACATTTTAATAATATGGACAATTGCAATATGATGACTCAGTGTATGCATGGCTTACTTTGTTAGAACAGATGCAATCACTGTGCCTGAGGCCAGTTTCTAATACTAAAAAGAATCTCTGTGGTCCATGATTTCTTCTAGAAGACGCTTTGCACATCTGGTCCTAGATAAAGTTCAAGTTCTTCATTATCACCTTGTAACCGTTGTTCTTTGGGACAGGGACATAATGGAAAATAACTTGGTAAACTTAGCTCCTTGGCCTTTAGAAGGTACCTGACTGCCCAGTTACAAGCAAGGAAGCTATACCAACCAGTTTTTACCCTTCATTATATCACAGTTGTTCTGCAAGTTTTGGACACAAACTTTGGATACCACAGCTCTCTCCTAAGAGGAGAGGAGATGCGGAAAGCTATATCCTGCTGTGCTGCTGGACTTCATCCAAGCCTGATTTCTGTAAACGCTTGTCATCTGTATGGACCTAGACACCAACTGCTTGAAAAGACAGCAGTCTTAGCCTTTCAGGCAAAGAGAGGTATTCAGCAGAAATGTATGTAAATGCAGCATACAGTTTTAATGATTCAGGTCCTTAGAGGAAAAACAGTTCCTTTCAACAACTGAAAACAGTCAGTCATTTTGGCTTCTAAACAATCTACTATCCCCAGTCGGCCCTGTCAGCACTGCTCTTCTCTCCTTCTTCCAACCTCTACTTTCTACCTGTTGAAAAAGTTCATCTTAAAAGTTCTTAGATTTTGACAAAGGAAAGTGTCAGAACCAAGTGTGCAATTAAGTTCCTTTCTATCTTCACATGTCAAAAGTCTTTGCTGAGTGTTGGCAGATTGAAAGAAAAAAAAACTTTTTTATTATACATGAAAACCTGTAAAAGGCAGTAACCTACTTTTTTCAAGGGGATTTCTAGGCAAAGTGGTGTCTCAGAGCCTCCACTACCAATGAAATATCACCTGAGGTAGTGACAGGGAGGGGGCTGACAGTTATTTGCTGAGTTGGACTGTGACTTTGAAAAAGCAAAGACAGACGGTTATGCTGTTTTAGGGGCCAGAGATTAATAAATTAAAAAAAAGCGTCCTGGTCACTCCTGCAAGGGAGACATCTAATGATTTGTGATAGATGGTCAGATGTTCCAGCATATGATCAAGAAAAGATAAAAAATTCTGTACTAGATCTGAACAAGAGCCCACCTAGCCCGTGATCCTATCCCTAGCAGTGGCCAAAGCAAATGCCTTGTGATGAGTACAAGACTGGGGGAAATGTGTGCCCATGAGTCTTATACATTCCAAGTGTGGCAGAGTTACCAAGCATCCAAAAATCAGATATCAGAGAGGTGGTCAGGAGGTCTGGTGAGTCCAATCTCAGAGCTACTTTTCAGAAAACTAGCAAATTGAGCGCATAATATCAAGAGCCAGATGTTATTCTGTACTAACTATAAGCAATCCCACAATAAAATTGTTATTCACACTATTCTTTTCTGGTCCGTGTAAATGTGTGTGTATCCATCCCTCTATCTCATGTGGAAGGCCTTGTGCTGTGATACTCTCTGATGTTTTCCATAGGACAGCGTGCCTCTCCATCAAGTGGAATTATCACACGGCCTTCAGCAGTTCTGTACCCGTCCTAGCTGCAACCTGATGAAGTTCTGTCCCCTGTTATAAAGCCATTCAGAGTCTTCCACATCTCTGGAAGGTGAACTAACCCATGCTTAAAGGCCCTCTAAAACCAGATCTAAACTTTTTCTTTTTTATTTTTTTTCCCTTCATTTCTGTGTGGACTGGATAGAAATGTTCTGAAGCCTTTCTAAAGAGTCTAGGCTTAACAGGTCAGAATCTGCACCCTTTGGCCAGAACCATGAAAATTCAATCTGTTTTTTGAAGCATCTTGCTCTGGAGTACCCAGACAATCATCTACTCAGTGAAAGGCAGTGAGCGCAGAGAAAGAGAATAGTAGGAGACTGACTTCTCTCATTGTTTACCCCTTTCTTATCCTTTCAGGTCTTAACCAAAGTTTGCTTCGCTACCATCCTGCCCTTGCTGTCACTTGTGATCAGTGCCATATACTGGCTACACAGCCCAATTATTTCTTCTTCTCATGATAATCATCTGATAAGATTCTGATTCTTCATTGTCTAGACCATCAAACTGTTAGAACAGGCCATGACACCATCTTCTTTAGGATAGTGTCCTAGGCAGATCTTGAGTTAGCAAATGTGACGGACTGTTTCCAAGAGGTACTTTTGGAAAATCAAGTAGTTTAACACAATGAATATGGTTTGTTCCACATCAGAAAGTGGTTCTGATTTAATTGACTGCACTACTATCAACATAGCCTCAAACCAGATAGGGCTGAGCAGGACAGCGTATGTTACTTCAAGCTTAGTGACCTCCATGTGTTAAAAGAGGGCTATTAGTACCTAAAGTAGCAGTCTTTAGTCTTCACTAGCCCATGAGCCACAGTTTTGTGCATGGCGGCTGAACTGCTTCCACTCAGGGGGAGTGGATTGCTTGATTGATTACAAGGTATAGAATCCCTTGATAACACTGGAAGCTTCTACTGGACACCAGAGACTTCTGCATTGTGGACATTAAGGGCTCTATTTAGTTACCTACACACAGACACGTGATACCCAAGATACTCATAATAACTGGCAGATACAACACAGTAACAAAAAGAGACTTGTGTGCTCTGGAGCAGCAGCTGGTGACCAAGCTGGATAACCCAGTTCATCTGAAATGGCAGTAGGTACCTATGTTTGCGCAACTGAATTAAGCAATTGAATCCAGAATGGAGTTTCATCTCTCTATATATATACTAGGAATTGTGGAAATAATTTTATTCTTTCCCCTTATTTTTTCTCAAGACCTAGCAGTGGAAGATCTCATCAGTTCTGCCAAAGGCACACTTCTATGGGCTTCTAACTCAGTCCCAGAGTGGATGGTGACAACATGCGCAGGCAAAGACACTCCCTTTCTTTCCATAGGCAAAGCTTGCAATGTGATCTTACCACCGTGGAATTTCAGTGTCAGTTTTGGTGGCAGCGTAGCAATCCACCACTTTTTCTGGTGTCCTAACTCTCAAGTGCATGGGGCAGGGCAGTTGTGAAATTACTGAAATTACAAACCTAGATCATATAAATGCCTAGGAATAATTGAAACTCCTGACAAATGACTAGAGTACCTAGTATCAGACACATGGAAGCATGACTGGGAAATACCATGCTAGCGTTACGATGTCGTGGACCCGTGTCTCCTGCAGAATGTGGTCCGGGCTGGTCTGTGAATCACTGTTCTCCTTCCAGGCAGGAGAGGGCAGCAGTAGCACAGACATTGACCCTTCAGTCCCTGTTACGGGCATTCTGACTGCAGTAGGACGTGGCCTGTCCTTGTATTATCGACGGACCTCTCTGATCAATTTGCTGCTGCTTTTAACTGATGGAAGGGGGGGAAAAATATATTTTTTTCCTTACAAGTGCAGGATAACAGCCTACAAGCCCAAAGTTCATGGCGGTTAGGAGTAATGCGTGCCCACGGCTCACCATCTCAGCAGTAAAGGAGGATGAGAAAGTAGGTATGGAGTGGTAAGAAAGGGTAGTGAGACCCTTACGTATCCCTCAGTGGGGCAGACTTTGGAGGTAGGACATAACAGTTGCCCACTGATTGTTATAACCCATAGAGCCAGAAAAGAAAGGGGAGATTTGCGTCATTATGATTGAGTAACATTTTATAGGTGGAGCAAATCCTCCAGCTGGGACAACTTATAGCCTTCAGTCTTGTTTAGGTTGTGCTGCCCATCAGTACAATCAGCTTTTCCATAGTTAGAGGGGGCAGATTGTTAGTGGGCTATGCAGCAATGGGGAGACACAACTTGCAGAGAGGAGCTGCTTCTTGACGTCTGGTTTATTCTCATGTTTCTGAAACCTCTTGGACCCTTAAAACAAGTGTGGATGTAGATAAGAATAAGATCGTATTCCACTTACAATGCTACTTTTAACCTACAAGGGATTCAGGAGCATGAAGCGTGAGGTCTCTTATCACCTTCACAACCAGTAAATGTCCCCTGGGCCACATTGTGCTCTGCTTAGCACCCCAGGGAAGGATCACAGGCTGTATTCATGGGATTCACAAGCCTGAGATGTTTCAATGCATGTCGACTCTGGGTCACCTTCAGAGTGGTGGTTACAAGAGCTCTGGATACAAGAGCGACGCTAAGACCAGGAATCCTGTGCCCCACAATAAACAAAGCAGAAGACGTTGGCATACAAAGGACAATCCTGTAGCTGGTCAGCCTACTCCCCTACTACAGTGCGATTCCTTTCTGTTGGATCTATCCCAGTCTGGACGATTCCCAAACATTTCCAGCACTGGGATGATGGTTTGAAAGACTGGGTTTCTGTCCTCAGCTCTGCTGCAGCCTCACTATGTAACACTGGAGTCAGCATAGGAAGTGTATGAGTATGTTTAAGGCTACCCCAGGCACACATACCACACACCAGGTGTAGGTCTACGTTGTTCCATGCAGACTATTTATTCCTGTTTCTCATGGCTCATGAAGGCTAATTCCTTCCTCGTCAAGGTTAATTAACTTAGAAGAAACATTATCTTAACATGATGTTACTGCTCCAGGTAGGTGAGTGTCTTGTTTAGAGCAAAGTCAGGCCTCTCTATGTGTCTTTAATGGTTTCAGCAAAGCTGGTGTACGTCATTCCAGCACCTTTGACTTCAGAGGGACTCTTGCAATTTCCATCCAGAGAGGATCTGTCCCTCTGCAAACCAGCTTTCCCCCAGCAGACTAGTGATAATCATCCCACAGTAACTAGTACTTAAGTATAAGCTTAGATCTCGTGCTCATGCACAAACAGGAGACAAAGACAGTTTCTGTCCTATAGATCTTATCATGTAATAATGTCCCCTCCTCTCATCTAAACTAAAACATCTGAGAAGATGTATGTGCTTCCTCAACCGCAGGCAATGAGAGCATAGCTACTAAAATCTCATTTCAGTAAATCAGGTTCCTCTTACAGCATCTCTGAAGAGGATTACTCTCACTTGCTGTCAGTGAGTACTGTTGTGAAAGCAGTCACCGCTCCATACTCCCACTCCTCCCTCCTTCAGCCCCCAGATCCAAAATGGAGAAGTGACAGACTGATTTCTTTTTTAGTTTCTCCTCCCTTCTTACTTTGTCGCTAGGATCATCTTTTTCCTCGCTGTCTGCTCTTTCTGTTCCATGTGCTGTCTGGCAATGTGCTCTCCTACTGCCTTGGCAGGGAACTCTGTTTCACAAGTGTAGCCGAAATCTCTGGCCAAATGTAATGCTTCCCCTGTGAGCAAACAAAACGTGTCAGTTAGTTTGTAGGGTTGTTGTTGTTGTTGTTATTATTATTATTATTATTATTATCATTATCATTATCATTACAGAATTTCTTCAACTCAGAAAAAAAAAAATACAATGATAAAATCACTTTTGTAGACATTCATTCCCGGTCTCAGTCACAGATTTCAGGCTGTTTGGCCTGCTCATGCACGGTCATCAGATGGTGCCAGCCAGAAGATAGGGAGGTTATTTGTCATGGTT